ATATATATATCAAGTTTTTGTGCTTCGAATAATTTTTATTTTTTATAATTAATTAGAAATTAAAAATGATTTATTTAAATCTTTGTGATAATTAATTAAATAATTATGATTATTTTAAATTTATTAATATTTCTAAATTATATCATTTTTATTAATGCTTATTTATTTATGATTTCAATTAATATAAGTATATTTTTTATTATTATTAATTAAAAAAGTATTACAGTCAAAATTCATCTAAGCAAATACATGCAACCTTTTAAATAATTAAGTTTAGTTCAAACTTATTATAAACTCAATAATTTAATTTAGCTTTATTTAATAATTATATTATATTTTAGATCATGTTTTATTGAGAATAATATTTTGTTAATTAGTCCCAATTTTAAAACTAATTTCATTCAAATAATCATTAAATTAAATCAGAGTTATTAGCTGTTATTTTATTCTATTTTTAATATGTTAAAAATATCCCCTTTAATTCCATAAACATGATTAATTATTGCCAAAATATTATCTATTGAATATAAAATATATAAGGTTCAAAATTTATTCAGGTCAATGTTTCTTGATTATCAAACTTTATTATCAATATATAATAATAGACAATAGTTTTTAAATTCAAACTCATGTTATAAATTTGCTTAATAATAATCTAGTTGAATAGAATATATATATGAATTCATTATCTGCTCAATCTATCCTATTGCAACATTTAATAATGACATCATAAATCATAAATAATATATAAAATTTTTATAGATATTTCTCATAGATTTAGATTAAAAGTCTATATAATAAATCTTAAAATTAGAACTTATACAATATCTACAAGAAATGAGATATAATAGCATTTTTTTTTTCTTAATATTCAAAAGAATAATCTATTTAAGTAATTTTAACAATATTTTAGGCAATTGTTGTCCGACAGAATGTTTATAGTGCAATGGAAATAGTTCATATTGCCTAATTTGTGCTTCAGGCTATTATTTAAGCAGTAATATTTGCTATTAATGTACAAAACCTTGTGCAGATTGTTCAATTAATGGAATCAATTGTAGTATAGCAGACTTCTTAAATTTGATGTTAAAATAATTACAAATTCTGATATCCAAAAACTAATGGTACTTGTATTGATACTTAAAATTAAACAACTCCTTCATGTAATTGTGTTGATGGATACATAATGAATACTTCAACATACTTATGCGATTAATGTTAACATCCATGCGCTACATGCTAAACAACAGTAGATTATTGTTTAATATGTGCTGTAACATATACTATAGATTTGAATACTCATACATGTTCATGCTTAACTAGTTAATATGAAGTAAATGTTACACCATAAACATGTTAAAATTGTACGAGCCCATGTGCAACTTGTATATTATCTGCAACTAATTGTGGTTCATGTTTAATTGGATTAAATCGAAATCTATAAACTAACTAATGTGTTTGTGATGATGGATATTATGAAAATACTACTTGTTAACCCTGTTAAGAACCATGCATTTATTGTACTTCATTATCAGTATGTACATCATGTAAAGATCCAACTCATTAATCAGGATCTTCATGTGATTGTTAACCAACTTATTTTTTAAATGCCTCTTTTATGTGTTAAAATTGTGTAGCACCATGTTAAAATTGTACTTCAGAATCGCTATGTATATCATGTGTATAAAATTATTATATTTCTGGAAATATTTGTTTATAATATACCTCGCCATGTTATAATTGTGTGGATCTTCCTACAAAATGTACTTCATGTGTTGATTCAAATATAACACCAATCAATAATGTATGCAGTAATGGTGGTTGTTCTGATGGATATTTCATGGATGAATCATTAAATTGTCTACCTTGTATTCATCCTTGTCTTAAGTGTTAAACATATGGCGAACATTGTTTAGAGTGTGCAACTACATTTGAAATGAGTACTATCACTCCAAATATATGTGTTTGTCCTGCTCAAAAATATCTAGTAGTAACTAATAATCCTACTGATTGTCAGTCTTGTACTCAACCATGTGATACATGTTCGGGAACAGCAGATCATTGTTTAACATGCATAGATGTTAATTAGACTGTTGATGCATCAAATGAATGTTAATGCAATCCTGGTTTTTCGATGAATGGAGTAAATTGTGTAGCTTGTCAAGATCCTTGTCTATAATGTTAAGGAAGTCCAAATTATTGTACTGAATGTAAAGATATCTAACATTATATATCTAATGGATAATGCATTTGTAACCCTGGTTATATAAATGATTATAACTATAATTGTATACCTTGTTAACCTCCTTGTACGACTTGTTCAGCAAATGATACTTATTGAGATAGTTGCACAGATCCTAATCATTTAGTTAATGCATCTTTTCAATGCATCTGTAAGGACACTTACTATTCAAATACTATTAATACATGTGCATCATGTGTATAACCATGTGAATTATGTGATATCAATGGATGTTTAACTTGTATTGATACTAATTAAATAATAAATTCTTCTAAGAATTGTGTTTGTAAATCAGGTTATTATTAAGTTGGCTTAAATTGTTCATAATGTGTAACACCATGTTAAACTTGTGTAATCAATTAGGATCATTGTTTAACGTGTACTGACATTCATTAAACTCAAATCAATAACTTATGTATATGTAATGATGGATATTTTGATGTCAATCATATTTGCTAACAATGCTAATATCCATGCATAAAATGCGAATTATAAAAGGATCATTGTCTGGAATGTTTAGATCTAAATCATGATTTAATCAGTAATAAATGTGTATGTAAATATGGATTTGGCTCTTCAGGAATTAATAATATCAATTGTTCACTCTGTTAATATCCATGTCTTGATTGCTCAAGTAGTGTGAACATTTGTCTCTCTTGCATTGATAATAATAGATTCAAACTTGAAAATAACAAATGTGTATGTAAGTAAGGTTATTTTGATACAGGAACTGATTGTTTATAATGTTCATCATAATGTTCTACTTGTTCAGAATAATCTAATAAATGTTTATCATGTTCTGACCCTAATCATTAATTATAATTAAATGATTGTTATTGTAAACCAGGTTATTATACTGATAATTATAAGAATTGTTTACAATGTTAATATCCTTGTCTAACTTGTAATTAAGATTTTTGCATATCTTGTTAAGATGGATATAATCTTGTTGAAGGATAATGTAAATGTGAAGAAGGGTATTATTATATTGATTTTTATTGTGAATAATGTAATTAGAATTGTAGTAAATGTAACTCATAATTTGAATGTACCGAATGTATAGATTAATATTATCTATAAAATACTTAATGTTTAAAATGTCAAATTCCATGTTTAGAATGTCTTGATATTTAAACTTGTAAAACATGTTCTGATAATTATATCATTGATGATCAAGGAAAATGCACATAATGCATCTAACATTGTGAATATTTTATTGATTCAACCAATTGTGTTAAGTGTTTTGATGAATTCTATTATCATGATTAAGCATGTATTCCTTGTTCCGATTAATGTTAGACTTGTGTATAAGATAGTAAATTTTGCACATCCTGTAAAGATTCAAATCACATATTAATTAAAAAAACAGGTATTTGCTATTAAAAAAATAATTTTGGAGATCTTGATGATTATAATAATTTGGAATAAATACTATTACTCCAAGATATCAGATGCAATTAAAATTAATTATTAATAGGTTATGAATGTATTAATTAATGTGGAAATGGTTTACTTAATGAATAATTTGAATAATGTGATGATGGTAATCAACTTGGAGGAGATGGATGCTCTTTACTTTGTATTCAAGAGGATTCCTATTAGTGCAAACACTATGTAAATTCTCCTAGTATTTGTTCATTTATTCAAGCTCCAGATTTTAGATTGAATCATCTCTCAAATTAATACAATCAAACTTAAATTATTGAATTAAGTTTCACTTAAAAAGTTAAAATACCAACTAATTTAAGTTTTGAAGAAATTGCATTAATCTCAATTATTCCATAAACTCGCATTAATATAAATATACTGAATATAACAAGTCTATCAACTGAATTGGAATATCCACTATATTAAGTTATCGTTGAATTTATAGAACCTGTAGAAGATGCTTATCTATAGATAGAATTTGATTAATCAATTATCAAAAATGAATATGATTTAGATTTAATTAGACATTAGATGTAAATAAAACTTGGAAATCCTTTTATACTTTCATAATAAAACTAAAAGAAATTGACATAAATTGTACTTCTCAACGATGCAATTATGTATTCAATGATTAGTATATCTGGATTAGCATTCCTTACTGGAAATGCTATAATGTTTTTTAATTTAATAGACCTTTTATAATCTTTATCCTATATTAGATATATGTAATATAATTTCCCACCTCATTTAATCTAATTCTTGAATACATATTCTAAAATATCATTAAAACCAATTTTGGATCATTTGAAAATTGATGAATTATTAAAATATTTAAATGGAGGTAAACTACCTTTCCAAAATTCAAAGAGCTCAAATTAGAATCAAATAAATCCTTTAAATTAATTTTACCTGTTGAATGCTAAAGGCTGTTATTTATCAATTTTAGTTTCATTATTAACATATTTAATTTGTAGACTATTAACATCTTAAAAACTATTATCAATACAAATAAAAATATTTCAGAAAAATAAATAAAAAAAATTATACCTTCGTTTTATTTTATTTTACCAAGAAAAAATACAGAGCTTTTGTGCTAAATTTATAAAAGAATATATCTCTTTTGGTTTACCTAAAGTCTATTTTGCTATATTGCATCAATTATTTTTTAGTGCCTTGTTGTAATTTCCAAATTACAGCTTTAATTCTCTATTTATAACATTTAATAGCGTCAATGCAATATTTTTTTTAATTTTAATTGTATATATTAGTTTATAATTACTTTCAATAACATAGACTAATATAAAAGATAGGCTAAAATGGAAATATTTTTATTAAGATTCTTAACCTTAATTTTGGGCATTCAATTAAAAATCATTCTAGATTTACAGAATAATGTTTTATATTTTTATGATTGTTGAGGCACTTAATTATCCAGAAATATAATCAATTTTACTCTCTATGTCCTCATTTTTCTATCTATTATACTTAGTTAAATTTAGACCTCTAAAATCTAAATATGAAGAAGCTAAACTGATATCAAAAGAGTTTTTTTTTATTCTTATTTCAGGATCATTTTTGATTTATAGCTTTTAACTCAAATATAATTAATAATTATATTATGGATGGATTCATATTGGACTTTTTACTCTTATGCTAATCTCCAATTTGATCATTAATTTAATAGAATGTATAAATAAAGCAATACAAAAACATAAAAGAAAGTAAGAAAAACTATCAAAAAAAGAAATTAATAATAAAATTAATCATCTTGAATAATTTATTATAATAGACACTCATAAGTAATTCAAAAGTTAAGAAGGTAAACCAAAAAATTGAAATAATTATCAAATAAACAGTTTATTAATAAATAAATATGTATATTTATGAATATTGTTTTAACAGAATGATTATTTCTAGAATTTTATCATAAAATTGCTAAATTAATTAATTCTTATTTTAGAAATATTTAGAATAAGACGATTATTATTTTATAAATTAAAAACAATATTCTTATCTAAAAAGCCATTTATATAAATTATTTTTATTAATCATATGCTGTTGTAAATATTTATTAGTTGCCTCCTAATCTTAAATTATTATCTAATATATTTTACAGGAATTCCATACAAAGTATTCAAAAATTAACTAATATTCTAGAATGAGACAATATAGTGAATATATTTCTAATTTGATCTTTTTTGCATTCGTTTAATTCCTATATTGTTAAGGAGTTGTAAATTTTTTTATTTTAAAATCCTCTTTCTTAAACTTATTAATATTTTTATCATTAATTATCATGATAACTAGTTCATTTAAAAAACAAAAATTAAATTACAAAAAATGTATACTCTATTATGTCTTAAAAATATTAGGAATTATAATTTAATTTGAATTTTAGATTTATGTATAGAAAACATTTTTTAATTTTAATTTTACGTTTTAGTTAAAGAAATTCATCTAAATAAATCTCTTCACTTTAAACTTCTAAAAAAGATTATCTTTTAGTAATTAAAAATTAGAAAATCTACTCAAATTTCTATAGTTTAGTAATTCACATATTTTAATGCTTAATCAATGTTGAATTAAATATAAAAAAATAAATAATTAAATTAATGAAAATAAATGCACCTTTGGTAAAAAAGACCCATTTCGGCTTCTTAGTCGCCTCAAAGG